AGGCCACTGGAGGGCACCAACACCCAGTCTACAGCTGCTCCAGCGGACAGTACGTGCCGTCCCTGAGGCTGACAGCTCTTCAGACGGCAGGATGTCAGCTGTTACACAAACTCACAGCTGTCCACTCGAAACCCAAACCTGACTCCCCTGCGGGCTTTCAGGAGGCCGTTAACCCCACAGGCAGAGACTGTCCATCCGTGTTCTTCGGAGGCACTGGTGAAATCGAACCGTCAGAGAAGCCCGTCCTGGGTTTGCAGCGGAAGTCAGGCTACCAGAGCACCCCCCCCCATTTGTGAGACCACCAACCACACTCACCACCAATGGGACACCTGTAATAAAATGCCAACCCAAATCCAAGATCCATTTTCATGAGATTGGAACTACATGTAAAAAAGTAAAACAGTAAGTCAGTAAATAAAATGTTATCGATTTTCTCCTGAGATTGAAAATGTCCAAAATTTGTTAAAAAGAGCTTTTAAGAAAACTGGGGCAGAGACAACATATGACAAAAGTTGAAATCTTTTTTTTATAAAAATGTATTCCAAATTCATTGAGAAAAATGTAAACACCTACATTTAAAAATAGGCAAAGGGTATGAAATAGGCCATCCATGAAAGAATTATGTTGACACGGGCTAGTAATCAAAGATCAATCGTCACCTGAACAAATACATGCTTGCAACATAACTTTTCATTCTTCATCTGGATTAAATGGGTTCTTTCAAAGCGAGTTGCTTATGGCACTGCTACGTAACTGCCATGCATCGTGCTCTCACAGCGACCTGTGTACAGCAAACAACTCTGTTCAATCCTGCAGTCTTATTAATGACAAACCAAATGCACAGCTGCCGAGTGGGTTCATACTCAGAGCGGCGCCCGGGCCGGTTCCCCAGGCTGTTAACTTGGCAGGAGGAGCCAACCGTCTTTCACCGGAGGAGCCGTGGTGGATTCGAACCACAATGCAGCTGGTTAGCTGCACCGCATTCTACGCCACCAGATATGCATACCACAACATGTGAACACAATAAATACAGTGAGCTTTTGTGATAGGGTTACACTTCGGTTACCAATAATTCCAAACTGCCTGTGACACAATCAATATTCTGATTATGAATGGACACTGTTCTGTGTACTGACGGCAAGCCAAACAGCCAATGACACCAAGCCAAAGCCAGGGAGGACAGACAGTCTCTTCTCACGCCATTTCCTGCTCTGAAAGGCCGCAGGAAGGTCAGCTATGGGTCAGCTCTGACCTCAAAGCCCTTAACTGCAAACAACATCTTCAGGGCGAGGAGGAGGTGGGACGTACCCACTGGCAGTGAGTATCGTGAAGATCTCGGCGGGAAGACACCCCATCAGCACCTTCCTTTCTCAATGGCTTACCAACCACACACGCAGCTGTTGTCCACTCCACCACGGTCAGTCCACCTCCACAAGTCAGCAACAAAACGCTACTCCAGTTTTCCTAACCAATATGGATGTTCACATTGGAGGGAAAATACAAATGCACAGATACTGATAAAATATACACACCATCTCTAAACACGGCAGAGAGGGTCAACTGATATATGGCAGGATTGCTTGAGATGAAAAAAAAAAACCCATGACTTTATAACCATTGAGATGAATACTGGATCAAACAAGAATTATCAACAGATACTAATCTGCTTTTGACAGGGAATCAGATACTTAAGGTGCCATCCCTCACACTACAAAAGAGAAGAAAACAAAATGGTAAATATGTAATAAAGAAATCAAGGGCCACCTTGCTAAAATGATAAAAATATTTACCCTGTATCAATGGGGAGCTGACAATGGTACCCCCGATGAATACCACCAGAATGTCACATCTATACTGTATTTTTGCCACGAATCTATCTCTTCAATCTGATCACTAGAAAGAAAACCTTTCAAAAAGGTTAATGTTATAAACCAGAACAATGGTGGAAATGTTCCAGATTAAGGAAACCAAAAGAGATTAACAACTAAATGTAAAACTACGCTGGATCTTGCATTAGAGGAAGAACATTTTACAGAGTACATTATTATTTGGCTACATAAAGATATGATGAGGTTAGTCTCTTGGAGTATTTCTCGAGTTGCTGGAATACACAAGGTAGATTAGAAAATACTATTAATATAAATTTCTGAAGTTGATAGTTGTACTGAGTTACAGAAGAAATGTATTTCTACTTAAAGTAGTCAGTGATAAAAGATAGGAATACATGTAACTTTCTGTGAAGGGACTCAAGGGGGTAAAGAATGTGTTTCCATAGCCCTATCTATAGAGATCAAAGGATTAAACAGGATAAATGCCTTTCAGCAATTGCGAAGTCTACCATTGTTAGACGGTATTGAGTCCTAGCGACCCTGTGAACACCTGTCCTGTTCTGTGCCAATCTCATAATGTCTTAACACACCTGAGCCCATGGCTGCCAGTCACTATGTCAACCCACCTGGCTAAGGATCTTTCTCTGCTGTCCCTCCATCATCTTGTTCTTTGTACAGTAGTATAAATCTATGTAATTACTACGATACTTGATCATCTTACACAATTTAACATGAGTGATAAACTGAAAAATTAAAATACCAGTAATAAGTTTATTATAAACAAAAAGTGGAAACCACTGAACTATCGAGAGCAGAAGTATTTTGCCAGAGACTTTTCAAAAATAAATTCAAACAAGAGCCAAGTATAAAATGCCTAAATCTTTAAAAGCTGTCACCTAGTGAAGGCAAATACAGAATGAATTTTGGTAACTATGGGGTGGGGGGAGGTTGGCTGGCTGGCTAACAGTGTTTCTGTTTAGTCTTAAGAACAGAAGGAGCTCTGGTGGTCTAGTAAGTAAGAACTTGCACTGTCAATCAGAGGCAGCTGGTTTGAATCCACCTGCAGGAGAAAGATGGGCAATCTCCTCCTGTTGAGATTTAGTCTCTGAAAACCCACTGGAGGGTCAGCTATGAGCTGGTAGCCATACAACAGTGTTAAGGATACAGATGATAAGAAGTGCACTAGTTTCCTTTGCCAACCTTCCTAAGTCTCTGGGGTGGGGCAGACTATACACAGTCCTGCCCCTCTGTGGCCCTCAGCTGCACTATCACCATCAGTTTATCACTGTCCTCACCTAAGCCTCTGTTCTGTGTCATTACCTCTCCTATGCCACTGTCAACTGAGACCTCTACCTCCTTATAATCATTCCTTCCATCACCTCACCTTCACTAAAACCTGGCTTTTCCTTGAGGACAGGTACTGCTTTCTCTGTGGAACTCTGAACATGGAGGCTGATTCATCTCCTGGACTCTAGACTCTTCAGGAGATGGGAGGCGGCCAGTGTTCTCTGTGGTGTTAAGGGCCTGTTGCTCAGGATGGCTTTCGTAGCCCCTGCCTCTGCCACGTGGATGGGATGGACTTCCACAACGGGACTGGCCAGTGCCGCCACCAGACTGAGCAAACTCCACAGCAGATTTGGAGACTCTCACTACCAGCAAAGCAGCAGGGGGCATGGACAGTGTGCATCCTCCCAGGCCAACGATTCCTGTGCCGTTCAGCCTGGGGCCTGCAGGAGCTAGGGTGAAGAACCGGAAACCTGGCATGAGTCAGGACTGCAATGCCACAGAACCAGAGCCTTCACCCCTGGAGGATGAGGGGGACAGCAGCCATTACTGACAGAGCATCTGCTTAAAGCTGGAAGGCTCAATGCTAGAGGGCCAGCGAGCACATCTCAGAAGGTGTCTTGACCAGGTAATTGTCTACTTGTTGCCAACCCGATTATAGCCTTTTGACGTCCCTCATACGGTTCTGTGTGGTCTCTGAGGGGCCACATCTTATTGTGGACCCAGAAGAAGTAATGAGATTGGTGGTGGGATGAGGAGAAGGAGGTGTGGGTCAGGCCTGACCTCAGGGGAACTGGTTCTATATTGTACACAAGTGAGACCCAGACCTCTCCAAGGAGCACCCCATGTGTACAGTACCTCCAACTTCCTGGCTGTCTTGTTAGGTGAAGCAATCCAATCAGCTCATAGGTACTGCACAACCGGCATGTTCACTATTGGTTCAACGTCTCTCCTCAAACCCACTTTATCACCTCTTGTTCTCTGAATCAGTTTCTCACATTGTCATCTGTGTGTTTGTCCAATCCAGGGATTTGGTTTTTCTGGAGTTATCTTGGATGCCTCATTTTCTCTTTCAGATCCACATCTACCAAGAACCCAACTGGCTCCATACTCACCCCAGTGCTTCATGTTCAAAATCCTCAGATGACAGCAGAAAGCTCTCCTCCAATCCAACAGTCAGGTATGACTCATAGTGACCTGATGAACAGGTCTGAACCCTGCCCTGTCCCGTCCTCGGCCAACCTCGTCATCTGACACACTAGAACCCACTGCTACCTATTTAACAAATGGACAGTAAATACTGTTTTTATGGAAACTGTAGCTAAAATGGGAGGCAACATTTAAAAAGGACTTGCAAATTGCCTTAAAACACACTGGGTATATGGGAAATGGAGCAAAAAATAAAAATGAGAATCAGTACTTCCCACAAGAACCATAATAAGATGCATACATCAACATTTTTCAAATGTCTCCTACTCAAAATGCCTAACTTTATAGCTATCACTGAAAAACAATGCCCTGTATATATAATAATATTATAAAAATGTTACACAAATCTTTGAAAAGAAAATTTTAAAAATAATGTAATTTCTGACAAAATACCAGAACATGTTTTAGGATTTCATCCTCATAGTTTAAAAACAGCAAAGAAAGGGGAATAACGCTAACTGGGGCGGGGAAGAAATTTAAAAAAATATCTAGAAACCCTTTTCTTTCCGTGGTACAAAATCAAAGTCATCAATGAAAAACTAAGAGCAGGAAGGAGAGGGGCGGGGAAAGCCCTTCTTCCTTCAGTGGACATGATGAAACACTATAAACCTAACATGTTACAGGAAAACAAAGGTCCCTGAGTTAAAAAGGTGCTTAGAAATCTCATGGATTGTTTACCTGAAGTTTTACTCAGTTCTGCTGAAAAGATAGCGGTTGGGGGTCTGCGCGCGCTCTCTGCATCAGAAGGCAGTTTCTGCTCTGCTTCTTTCACCAGAACCTCGGGTTTGCCGCCTCGGCCTTGCTCTGGTCGGGCGGCCACAGGAGACACGTCTGGAGGCGGTAGGGGTGCTCCCGCTGCAGCCGCGGCCCCGTCTTTGGGGAAGTCCTCGGACACAGGGCTTCTCTCTTGCCCTCTCGGCTGTACATCCTTGAGAGCAAGCTCACGGGCTCCTTCTGAGCAAGGCAGCGATTCGGCTCCGTCCCGGGTCTCGGCGACTCCACTTCGGAGGGACCTTACCACGTCTGTGTATTCTCTTGCAAACTGAGGGGAGAAGTCCGTCTTACAACTGCCAAATGTGGGGAACTCGTCTATAATCTCAATCGGAGAGGAATCTGAAAAGGTTTCGCTTTCTCTTACTTGGGCTTCCTTAGAAATAAAGAATCCTTGGTCTGGATACAGCGTGGAGTGGAGCGCCTCCATGGGCAGCGGCATCTTCTCCTTTCTGGTCAGCGGGGTGACATCACCGGGCAGCAGGCTGCCTGCTGCGGGGTCTACGCCAGGCTGGAAGGATTCTAAGTACGGCTTTGCTGCCTCGGGCGGGGAGACGCCGACCTTTTCCTTCGCTTCCGCCGGCGTGGCCGTGAGACTCTCCTTCACCAGCACCACGGCTTCGTCTTGTTTTTCAGGAACTTCTGGTATAGAATCGTCACTAAATAAGTCAACAGGCTCAGAGTCGGGAGAGGAGTCCTCCACGGGCTCCGAATGATCCGGCCCGGGCTGGGCCATGGCGGCTCGTTCTGAGTAATGAGAGAAATCAGGAGTCAGCTCGGTGGAGAGCTTCGTTCCCTTGATCAAGTCACACGCGATGGATATGTAAGGGGCTTCTGCTTCGGCCGCAGTGGCCTTGGCAGGCTCAGCCTCCAGGACTGCTTCCTTTAATCCACCTTCCCTCTTCAGGGGGACACTCATGGCCTCTTCGTATGGGGGCGGATTTTCAGACTCAAGTTTTAGGTTTTCGTAATTGGACTGAGGAGCTTCTAACGGGGACGAGGTGGGCTGGGCTGCAGGTGGTCCAGCGCCGGGAAGGACGGAGGTTAAGGGCGCTTCCATCACGATGTCGGGCAGCACTGGGGAGGGGGTCGCTTCGGAGTCCTCGAAGGACGGGCAGAGCTGCGAGCCGGGGTGCAGGGCCTCCTGCAGGGCTTCGGACGTCTGGACCAGGTCCACCTTCGTCTCGTAGGCACTCTTGGTCCCGGCGGCTTCGCTGAGCTCGCTTTCACAGGCCTCCTGCACCAAGTCGGGGGTCAGACCTTCGGGCACACTGACCACCGCGCCCGCGGGCACCTGTGACAGCCCGTCTGTGGTGACATAATCTGTCTCGGAAAGCTGTGCCGCCATGAGGAAAGGATTAGACGTTTTGATGCTCGTGTTCTCAGTCCCAATTTGGGCCTTTTTCTCTTCTATTTTCTTTTCATCGGTCTTATTTTCCACAGTGTGGTCTCCCACCAGGGGGAAGATACCGGGGGCCACGCTGCTGGCCGCAGGTGGCTGGAAGGGCGCGCACGTGAGGTACGCCTCTGGCCCGCGCCCACCAGCTTCCGGGGTGCTGGGGAGAGAGGCGACCTCGTTGCTGCTCTCACTGTCCTTCTCGGGACTGGTCTGCTCCAGGCTATCGGCAAAATACTTCTTATAGGCTCTGCTTTCCTGCGCGCTCGCTGCCTCGCCTCCGGCCCCCAGCCCGCCGTCAGGCTGGTAGGGGTCCCCGTAAGCACCTTTCACTTCCCACACTCGCTCGAACGGCTTGAAGTCTGCATACTCCTCTCTCATGGGAGCTTCTCTAACAACTCCGGCGGCTCCTGTCCCCTCACCGTCCTTTGTCTGTTCCAGGACCTTCACTCTGTCCTCCTCCACCGATCTGGCCATGGCCCCCAACGGCTCCTGCCGATTATGAAGGACGCCGTTACTAACCACGTCGTCCTCTTCATCTTTATCCGTCACGAGGGCTGCTTCCTTCCTCGAAGCACCACCGAACGACAACCCCATCTGTGAGTATTCCAGTTCAGAAAACTCTGGGAAGTCTCTATCGACAAATGGATTTGTGGCCTTCTCTCCGATGCGTCTGGAAGCGTCATCTGAAGTTTCTTCCAGCATTCTTTTGGTGGGTGACGCGGCAGATAGGTTACCAAGATACTCGTGTTCTTTAAAAGGAGCAGCTGAGAGAGGAGACAGAGAAAGAGAAGCAGTGGTGTCAAGCAGGACAGATGGGAGGTCCTCTTGGCCAGCCGAGACAGCGCTACCTGGCTGCTCCTTCAAGTCCATAATTTTCTCTGTGGCCATGGACAGAAAGGAAAGTTAGAGAATGCCAGTGCTCTTAGAGTTAATGCAAGTTTTATGACAGGTTTAAAATAGAGTTAGTAAAGACTTAGTGTTAACTAAAATGGGATGTTAATAGAGCTTACTTCATCAATAGCAACTGAGTTCACTGTAATTATTACTAGAAGCACTGAAAAGCTGCGTTAAGAAGCATGCACACAGCTCAGAGGCAAATTACGTGCGATCCAAAGACTTATCAATTCTCTGAGAAAATGCTCGAGTGTTACTAATGGAGGGAAACTACTTTTACTAGTTTTAGAGGAAAAGGTGTCTAACAATATAAGCAAGGGCATAAACTAAATGCCACACACTTGCATTCATTTATATAAAAGACTTTCAACTACAAGCAAGTTGCTGTACTTAAGAACTGGTCATTGCAGAACTGTAAGTCAAGGGTCCAAGAATTCCTTACATAATTCCAATTGTTAATCTGCTTCTGCCTTGGACAGAACACAGCAATTTCAAGTTCTTCTGAAGGCACACATTCTTGGAACCGAGCTAACTTTTATTAATCTCAAAACTACTTTGTACAGAGCTTATCAAACTAGAGAGTTAAGAGTTAGAATACACAGAGGTAAAGGTGAGCAGAAAGAACTTGCCTGTAGAGGAGAGCATCACAGGCTCGGATGCAGCAGGAAGAGCAAAAAGGGTCTCATCTGAAAAACAAATAGAATATAACCTCAGCAGAGATAAAGGCAAAGTCGGAAAGAGAGTCAGGACGGGAGGAGTAAGCAAGGATTCAGGCTGGCATGAGTTAACACAAAACTTATCTACAGAGGAAAAGCCAGAGAAAGGGGGCATTAGCTAAAGCAGGACCATTAATGCCAGTTAAATTACCACATATATTACAAGGTATTTCAATGCTATCCAGAGTGTCTCATGTATCAAAACACAGTTAAAGGGTTTATACTAAAGGAAGTTCATGAACAAAAAATGGCCTCTAGAAACATCTCTTCCTGTTTCATGGATTTCAGACAATATGCTTTGTTTTATTCAAGGCCAAAATCAAAGAGATATATTTATTTGAATAAAAGTAATAGCTACTTTTAACTTTTTTTTAAAAAAAGCTCTATATATGTTCAATTAAGAAAAAACCCTTTCCAACAACGGCGCATTTCTTTCCTTACATTCTAGGTTATCTGATAGCCTCACCATCACTGTGCACTATTCTTTGACTGTATTAATCATGCGTGCCACTGCCCAGAGGAAATACTAGTTATCACAATGAGGATGCTTGTTTTTTATTTTTTTGTTTATAATTAACTTTAGTTGTAAGTGATTAGGCCCCTCATCATTCAAAATGTTTTACATGCAAGAACTCATTTTAGACTCAAAGGGAGGGACACTCAAGTCACAGAAATGTTTTCACTCACTGAAAGCAGACAGTCCATCCTGGGGCTGGAACTGCTGACGCAGGGACAACCAATGCCTGCCCTTTAATATCCTGCCCTCACATCCCACAAATAATCCTTTCTTCCCATTATCTTCACTTGCTGCACCCGCAGCTTTCAAGTCCCAGGCAGCCCTGGCGCTGTTGGGTTTTGTGTACAAGTTATGCTTCTGTCTCGAAGCTCTGAAGTCATTGGAACACAGGCAGTCTCTTCCAGTCAAAGATGACAGCCTTGGAAATCTGGTAGAGGGTTTCAACAAACAGCGGGCAGTTTCTTGAACTAAAACCACCACCATTAAAAGAACAACCTCACTGCCCAATGCCAAGACTTACAGCAACCCTGTCAGGCAGAGCAGAATTACCCCAAAGGGTTTCCAAGGCGTAATTTTTACAGAAGCTGACTGTAGCTGCCTCTCCCATGGAGCTGGTGGGTTCAAACCGGTGACTTCTTGGTTAGCAGGAAGGAGAATTCAGCCATTGCACAAGCAGCGTGCCTCAGCTGCACTGAAGGAGGGCTCAATATGAACTGTTGTTGTTATGTGCCGTCAAGTCGCCTGTGACTCATAGCGACCCTGTGTACAACAGCCCTAAACCCTGCTCTGTCCTGTGCCAATAGTACTGTCTCTGACACACCCATCCCAATTACCCCAGTCACTGAATCAATCCACCTCATAGAGGGCCTGCCCCTCCTGCGCTGTCCCTCCACTCTACCCAGCATGATGTCCCTCTCTAAAGACCTGTCTCTCCTTACAACATGTCCAAAGTATGTTAGACGGAGCCTCAGAATCCTTGCCTCCAAGGAGTAGCTTGGTTTAATCCTCTCCAGGATGAACCTGTTTGTTTTCTTGGCAGTCCATGGTACATTCAATACTCTTCTCCAGCACCACATCTCAAAGGCATCAGTTCTCCTTCTATCCTCCCTAGTCATTGTCAACTCTGATGCATAACAAGTGATTGCAAAGACCATGGCCTGTATCAGGCGGACCTTAGTCTCTATGTGCACTTAACTACAAACTCTTAAGAGACAAAGTTAGGAATGGACTTTGCTTTATAATCTGAGGACTGCCTGTATATACACAACCAGTTATGAGACTCTGGCAATTCAAGTCCAGACTCATTCTGTCAATCAGCATGGCTCACTCCACACTGGTAACCTCACCTCCTATCAGTTTGAACTGACAGTTGGCAAATGTTAAGCAACTGCAGTTTAGACTACAGAACTGTTTCTCTCAAAAGACAGTTTTAAATAGTCCAAGGAGTGTTAATGTAACAAACAATGAAGACCTAATAAGAAAAACCTGCACATTATCCAGGAGGACAGGTAGACAAGACTGTTAAAAATATGAAAAAAATCTAAGAAATATAGTTCTCATAAACAGGTGGTTCTTCTCCAAAGGTGTCCCTTACACAGGACACCGGTGGTGACCGGCTCCCACAGAGATCTTAAGGCCTTGGGAGACTGTCCTATCGGGTAGCCAGGTGCAGAAATCAACTTGACCGCAATGAATAACATATATTTTAGATTTTCTCTGGAATAACTGCACACTTCAGGCTTCTTAGCTGGAGTGGTCAGGAGTAAATCTATGACTGTGTTTAAAACCCTTTTCTATGATAATGGACTCAAACTAATGAACCCTCATTATGATGCCACAGGACTAGACCACGTTCATTCTGTTACACACCCTTAAGAGTCACTTGGATGGCTGGTAACCCCAAAAACCCAGATAGGGTGCACGGTCCACCCAGCCAGCCAACAGGACCAGGAGCCGAGGAGATTCATGAAGTATGGTCATCGTGCTTTCCCTAGACAAGAGCCTGCTGTTCACAAATGGGTAAACGACTGTATTACAAAATAATTTAACCCCAAACTACTTCTTTCAATCAGTTCTGACATACAGCAACCTTCCACTGGATTTCTGAGGCTGTAAACTTGGACAGAAGATACTGCTCACCTGTTTCTCCCCGAGCTGCTGGTGGATTCAAACCAATGCTATATTAAGCAAAAAGCATTCTGAATTACTGAATGCATGTTCCATAATCACATGTATGTATGCTATCCAAGTTTTATTCTCCAAAAAGGTGGCACCTCATCCTTATTTATAGCGTCTTTTCATAACATCAAATGCTAACCACCAAGTTTCAGTGAAATAAAAACTTTAATCCTCAACCTCATCCATGCTATTCTGAAGAGCCAGTCAGAAAAATGTAATAATTATGAAACCCACATGTACAATAAAAATGGCTCCTGCACACAGTAAGTAAACACACAGCAGCACACTCCGCAAACTTCCACTAAATAACTGGCCCCAGAAGCTAAACTTTTCCACACAGTGTTTCCGGTCTTACTGCTAGCAAATAAAGGGACAATTCTACACGTTACTTTGCCCAAAAATACTTAAAAGTGCAAATTGGATTCAATCTAAAACTGATAACGAAAGCCTCCCTCACTGTTAAAATGTAACTCAATAATCCCTAAATGGCATATCTGCTCATCAATCATTCTAACCATATGCCACACCCTCCCACCACTTGTTACCCAAGAAACCGTAAATTCACATTTCAGCTTTCTTTCTAATCCATGTTCAGCTTTAATTTTGTTAGTGTTCTACTGTATCACCACTTAACCTCACAAAAGCAAATCACACAGCTATTTAATAGCAAAGACAGAAATTTATAATTGAACTTGTCATTACAACGAGGCCCACTATTTTCTTCGTGCCCTCAGTAAAATGAACATAATCGACAGTACACAAAGATAAATTCCATTTTAACACGGAGTAACAGCACAGTCTTCCTAAATCACAGCAAACGACTCTTCTTTAAGGAGACTGTTGTAACAAGCGTTTGCAGACGGCCAGATGGTCCAGACCAGGGAAATGCCCGTATGCATAGAGCAAATGAAGACAGTCACTCAGGCGGACAAGGGAAGGGGGACTCGGTTAGAAAGCCCACAGTGGACACAAGGCCATGAGGGGAATTAGAGTTAAGGCCTCCAGAAGGAGGAGCTTCCCCAGAGTGAGCAATGAAGAGTACATGACTGGACAAAGCTACGTGCCACTCAGGACAGCAGATGACATGGGATTTTCCGGCCAGCCCTGCTGGTAAACTGCTTCCTCCATCAAGGTCCACCAGAGGTCTGTTTGTACCCTACCCCTGCCAGGCCCCGAACACCTCACACCTCCTGTAATACTCAGAGCGGCAGTCCTCAAGGGACTGCCATCTGGAAAGACAGGTTTTTAAAATCTGCCTCCAGACTCCGGTAGAGGCTCTGCATGTGGACTGCTCTGCTCACACACACACGAGGGTCTCTGACTTTACTCTCATACAACTCACACAAGGTTGGGGGGGGAGCTTTTGCAAACAGTCCAGCCCTCCATGCTGGCCCTAAAAACGTCAAGTTTAGACAAATTTTTAATTTTCCTCACTTCCCTCACACAAGAAGCAAGCTTCAAAACTATAGTTCATACAAGAGTCCACAATTAAGGTTGCATAGCGGAATGTACTTGGGGCGGTGGGAGGGTGCGGGGGGATTGTGTACCCAGGGAAGGAGTGTTTCTTTTACTTTTGAAAGAGA